TACATACTATCCCATGAATGTGCCATGACAACATAATGCTAAGTGAAAGAAGTTAGTCACAAATGGTTGCATATTAAATGACTTCATTTATATGAATAATTCATATTACTTAAATCTATTGGATATAAAGCAGGTTAGTGATTCTAGGGGCTGGCAGAGGCAAAAAAGAAGAGTTTTGCTGTGGGATGTTTGTACATTTTATTCTTGGGATAATAAAAATATTTTAGGGGCTGGAGCGATAGCACAGCGGGTAGGGCGTTTGCCTTGCACGCAGCCAACATGGCCAACACAGGTTCGATTACTAGCATCCCATATGGTCCCCCGAGCACCGCCAGGAGCAATTCCTGAGTGCATGTAAGTAAGTAAAGTAAAGTAAAGGCCCTCCCGTTGATCATCGATTTGCTCGAGCGGGCCCAGTAACGTCTCCATTGGAGACTTTGTTGTTACTGTGTTTGGCATATCGAATACATCATGGGGAGCTTGCCAGGCTCTGCCGTGCGGGCGAGATACTCTCGGTAGCTTGCTGGGCTCTCCGAGAGGGGTGGAGGAATCGAACTCGGGTTGGCCATGTTGGCTGCGTGCAAGGCAAACGCCCTACCACTGTGCTATGAGCATCGCCGGGTGTGACCCAAAAAGCAAATATATATATATATATATATATATATATATATATATATTAGAACTAGATACTGGTTATACCTGAATAACATTGTAAATTTTATCAATGTGTACCTTGAAATAGTCAAATTTTGGTTAAATAAATCACTCCATAAATAATAAGCCCACACATCTGATTAGGGATTGAGTTTGGATTTCCAGTTTCAGTAGTATTGTGGGCCAAAAGACTGTATTTCAACTTTAGGTTTTAAAAAGAGGACTTGGAATGAATCTACACAAAAGTTAGGCTATACAACTGAGCTTGAAATGTGGCCAGAGCTTAGATTTGAAGTCCAGGTAGCCTCCCGAGCTAAGCAATATGTTTTATCTTCAGGAAAACTGGAACCATGCGTAGATGTTGGGATGAGGGATGGATTTTAACACCAGGATGGAATAAAGAAATATGGGTTTGGGTGGGCATTTGGTGGGAATCAGGAGCTAAAAATGCATTCTGAAGAAGCACCCCCACCCTGCTGGTGAAATTTGCTCTGGAAAATACCTCTCAGAAACCAGGAAATAGCAGAAGAATTTCCTTCTTTTTGGAGCTGTGAGTAGAAGAGAAAAAAGTCAAAGTTCCAGGCCTGCTGCCATCAAACAGGAACACATAAGTCACAGTTAATGTAGCTTCAGGTTAGTGGAAACCATGTGTGCTCATCACAGGCAAATAAGCAACTGCTTGTCTGCAGTGATACCTCTGCACCAGATTCTCATGGAGAAGCAACCTCCACTGCAAACTAAGTTCCCATGGAACCGTGCAGACTCCACAAAGAAATGTTCTTGCACTAGGGAAAGTAAGTAAATGTAACAGGTAGCTGGGTTAATAGCTCAAAATTTGGCCATGTAGTATATTTGGATGATTAGGAATTGAGCATTGAGATTCGCTCCACCACCTTAATAAGTTGTCCTTATATTGTTGGAGAAACAGCTCTCCAGGGAATGTGTGCTAAGTTTGCAAAGGGGGTGGGGGGTGCAGACAGAGATTGCTTATAAGCTGTCCTATCACATCTAGCAAGACCTTTAGGTTTTTCCCTAAGGGTGAAAAGTTTGAAGAAACTTTGTTTTCAAGCAGTCCTTTCAGATGGCATGAATTCTCTGCATTTAAGTATATATAATACACACACATATATCTATCTATATATATTTTTTTGGTCAAACCTGGTGGTATTCAATGATGGCTCTTCCCAACAAGATGCTTGGGGATTGTTCACATTGCAGCATGTGGAGCCCAATGGATTGATCCCAAGACTCCCTCATATAAAACATGTGCTCAGCCATTTGAACCATCTCTCTTGCCCTGAGCTTTATTACGTTAACCCTGAGACTCAGGTATTCTTCACCCAAATCATGCCCTAATTTCATTTGAGAATGGTGTTTACCCATTTTTGTGAGGATTGACATATGAGCTGATAAGCAGCTTTTGGGGACAAATCCAGAAGCTGATTCCATATGTTGACTGAACCATGTTCCTAGGGAACGAGGAACTTCATGTAGTTTAGTTGAGCTATGCCAGAAACATTAACTAAGGATATCGAAACCTATAAGGCTTTAGACTTACCTTATCGATAGCCAGCTCCTCTGCTTCAGTGCTATGGCTGACTGTGGCTTCTCTCAGGAAACCCTCATACTCATCTAAGAGTGGAGAATTCTTGGGGACTTTGCCTTAAAACTTCAGTGGTGTATCACTTTACATAAGATTGAGAATAGGGGTGGCTGAAGGCTTGCTGGGTTTCTGGTTGGTAATGGTTCAAACACGCCTGGAAATGGCAAATTTAGAATCAATGGATTTAGCAAACAATGTATGCAAACTTGACTTTGCCCTGTAAACCTGATGGTTTAGAAAACTTCAGGAAACTAATTTTTCTATTGAGAATAAAGTTTGAAGACCACACTGTTTTCTTCACCTATGACTTGAAAATAGTGCAAGCATGAAGAGAGACTCTGAGTAGGAGCTGAGGAGCTTTTCAGGGTGGCTTTAATGCTGTTGAGTGGTAAAACCATAGACCTCAAAACCTAATTGCTCAGTAGAACTTTTAAGGGGTTCTTAGGCAACAGAAATATTAAGGAACGACAGAGACAAATATCTGAACCAAACAGTCAACAACAGTGAAATCAAGAGACCCAAACGTTACTATTAATACTAGAATTTTCAAATTCTAGTATTAATAGAACAAATACCACAAATCACAACAACAATCACAAATCATCCTGTTATTCGTCGATTGCCTCGAGCAGGCCCCAGTAACGTCTCTTTCATCCTAGCCTTGAGATTATATTCAAGGCTCTTTAGGAGAATGAGATCCATCATTGTTACTGGTATTTGGCATATTGGATATGCCACGGGGAGTTTGCCAGACTCTGCCGTGTGGGCAGGCTACATTTGGTAGCCTGCCAGTTTGTGTAATGTGAACAATGTGAATCTCAAGTAGGAATGAGATACTAAGATGTGGTAATAAGATGTTGTGCTGCCGCAAATGCGGCTGCGCGGTTCCAGGAGCTGGTTTTTATAGTTTTTGAGTCTTGGCCGTTGATGGGATTACATGGTGCCGAGGGGGGGGGGGGGAGTTGGTGGGTGTGACCCCCGCCTACTGGAATTTGGAGGATCTAGGTGGAGGATGCTTGGCCCCAATTCGAGTAGGCTTGGAGATCTCGTCACACCCACCAACTGCCCCCCCGCCCCCCGGCGCCATGTAATCCCATCAACGGCCAAGACTCAGAGACTATAAAAACCAGCTCCCGGAAGAGAACAGTGCAGTCTCCTGCCCCCGCGCCTGGCTGTCCTCGCCGGGGCCCCTTGGAGGGGAGCGGGTTGAGCTTTCCTCCCCGCCCCGACCAGGGCTCCGGCAGCCGAAGACCTCCAGGACCAGCCACCACCATGCTGAGACCACTCTCCGCACACATGAAGGTACTGGCAGAGGGACAAAGCCATGCGGGTTCCGGGGCCAAGATCTCCAAGCCTACTTGGATTGGGGCCGAGCATCCTCCACCTAGATCCTCCAAATTCCAGTAGGCGGGGTCACACCCACCAACTGGCCCCCTGGCGCCGTGTAATCCCATCAACGGCCAAGAACAAATACCATTTAGAATTAATCATATGGCAGCATTGATTAATGGCTGGGAAGACATTTGACATAAGACTTTCTTTGCATCTTCCCAGTGGACATTTAGTTTCATAGACTTTTAGTAAACTAAAGACATCCTTAATGTTACTTGAAAGTAAAGATTGGGATATCTGGGTCCTTTGTACCCTTCTCTATAAATGTATGTGCAGAGCCTTCAGAATTAATTGCTTTTTAGATGCACGATTACTGCTCGCTTAGCCTGATGCAAAGAAGTAGGTCATTTTATTCATCAGAATCTTGCTGTTCTGTAATTATGTGAAGAGCAAATTATTATAGATAGGATTTCTGTGTAGTTTTAAAGCAGGTAAATTTAGAAGAGTAAGAGAATAGTCTGTGGCAAGAAAAACTCAAGGTTTTAAAAAATGTGCAGACAATATTTAAAACTTGGTAAGTTTTATTGTTCTTAAATGTGTTATGTAAGTTGGAAAAAAAAAGCTTTGTCTATTTTTTGGACTAGAAGAGGCACTAGTGATTAAATAACAAGTAATAAAAAGAGCTGGTCTTCATTTGTTCTTCAACACTGCAGAAACACTGAGCTTGAAATTCAATTATATATTCCTTGAACAAAGGATGTGTTCGGACATTTCATCTTTTATTTAAGTAGAGCATGTATTTCTGTCATGATTAATTAAGATAAAATAATTTTCTACAATATTGAAAGATATAAGAGATCTTAGCTTTTTGATTAATAAAGAGACTACTTATAACCCAGTCAAAAATGAATATGAGCTGAGTGACATTAGCCATGAAGTACACCTTGCACAATGCCATATAGAAAGGTATGTTATATCATTGAGGTAGCTTTAGTCCCACCAATTAGAATTAATTTACATAATGGAAGTAACATCTGATTATTTCTTATGACCTTTATTTCTATTTATTCTAAGAGTTTGCTTTAATGGACAAAATCAAATGAAAATGGTATGACAGAGTAGGCCTTCCTGGGTAGTTTGAGTTCTCTTTAAAAGTAGACATTGAGACTGAATTGTGGTGATAGGAGTTTATTTTGGAGGTGCACTTGGGAAGAGTGATGAAGGAGAGAGAAGTGAGGAATAGAGAGAAATGGATTTTCATGAGTACTGGGACTTTTGCTTCTGGGGATTGCCTGGAAACTGTGTAGAACATACTGCAGGGGTGAGAAAAACTGAGAAATTGACCAAGTTAATGCAACAGAATATAAGTAAAAAGACAACTATTAACAATTTATTCTCTTATTTTCCATAGTGAGAAGTTGGATGGAAAAACTAAAAGACAAGGTAAGAGAAGTATTTTTCCTTTGGATTATTTTATAGAGTAAAAAATTGCCAAATAAAATATCTTCGAAGTAGTAGAATTTTAATTCATTGATTCCATTTTCTCCAAAAAGACACATGGCCTATTCCAGATGTACAAGAAAGGTCTTGTCTTCTCTCTCTCTCTCATTCTTTCTCCCTCTCTCTTTCTCGCTCACTCTCTTTTTCTCTCTTTCTTTTTCTCTCTTATTTTGGGCCACACCTGGAGGTGTTCCTAGGGCTTACTCCTGGCTCTGCAGTCAGAGATGACTCCTGTCAGTCTTGAGGGACTCTATTTGGTGCCAGGGATTGAACCTGGGTGAGGTGTGTGCAAGGAAGTGCCTTACATGCTATGTACTATCACTCCAGCCCCTGGAATGGAAATTCTTAAACTATAACATGGGTTTGGTTTGAGACACAAAATCTCCTGAGCACTCTTCCTGCACCCTCTTTTTAAATTTTTTTTTTATTTTTTATTGAATCACTGTGAGAGAGACCCAATTAGATTTCAGTCATATAATGTTCCAACACCAACCGCCCCTCCCTCAGTGTACATTTCCCAGTACCAGTGTCTCCAGTTTTCCTCCCATCACCCCTCACTCTCCACCCCTCAGCCTGCCTCTTTGGCAAGTATTTGTGTTTTTATTCTCTCTCTCTCATTTTGAGCATTGTAGTTTGCAATACAGATGCTGAAAGGCTATCAGGTATATCCATTTACCTACTTTTAACACTCAGTTCTTGTCCATCGTGATCATTTCCAGCTATTATTGTCATACTGGTCCCTTCTCTATCTTACCTATCCTCTGCCCCACACTCACTTCTGGTTGATTCCACCCATTGACAAGTTCTCCTAACCACTGTTTTCTCTGGATGTGGATATTAGTCTTCTACTATACATACATATATATATTTTATATACCAAAAATGAATGCAGTCATTCTGTATGTGTCCCTCTCCATCCGACTCATTTCACTCATCATGATACTCTCCATATCCATCTATTTATAGGCAAATTTCATGACTTCATCTTTCCTAACAGCTGCATAGTATTCCATTGTGTAGATGTGCCATAGTTCCTCTATCTATTCTTCTGTTCTTGGGCACTCAGGTTGTTTCCAGATTCTGTCTATGGTGAATAGTGCTGCAGTGAACATAGGAGTGCAGATGGTGTTTCTGCTGTGTGTTCTAAGCCCCTTTGGTATATTCCCAGAAGTAGTATTTCTGGGTCAAATTGGAGCTCAATTTCAATTTTTTTGAGGAATGTCCATATTGTTTTCAAAAAAAGACTTCACCAGTAGGCATTCCCACCAACAATGAAGGAGTTTCTCTTTTTCCCCACATCCACACCAGCATGGTTGTTCTTGTTCATTTGGATGTGTGCTGGTCTCTGTGATGTAAGATATCTCATTGTTGTTTTGATTTGTATCTCCCTAATTATTAGTGATGTAGAGCATTTTTTTTCATGTGCTTTTGGGCCATTTGAACTTCTACTTTGAGAAAGTTTCTGCTGATTTCTTCTCCCCATTTTTTGGATGGGGTTGGATTTTTTTCTTATAGAGTTCAATCAGTGCCTTGCATATCTTTGATATTAATCCCTTATCAGAAAGGTTACCTTTCAGTATCAATATTGCAAACCACAGTGCCGAGACAGAGAGAGAGAGAGAGAGAGAGAAGAAAGGTACCTGCCATAGGTACCTGCCATAGAGGCAGGCAGGGGGTAGTGGGTGGAGGGTGACAGAAGGGAGCCTTGGGACACTGGTGCTGGGAAATGTACACTGGTGGACAGATGAGTGTTGGAATACTGTATGACTGAAATTCAATCATGAACAGCTTTGTAAAATAAATAAATAAACAAATAAATAAATAAAAAATATATTAGCAGACACACAATCCCTTATCAGAAGCGTGCTGGACTTATACCCTCTTTTAAGCCATCTATTAGAGTGCTTTTTTTTTTTTAATCAAGTAAGAATGAGCTCAGTTTGGAATGAAAAACCAGAGGAAAGCATTTTTCTCTCCTGTTTTAATTCTGCTATCTACATCGTGGTGATTGGCATTATTTTCTTCCTTCCAGGTTATATTTTCCATTATCTCTGAATTTTTATAATTCTCCCAAGTTTTCATCGTTGGTCACCTTGCAATTTTAAACTGGAATTACTGCTAAAAATATTGATGGGATCCTTAATTCCTTGCTAGAATTGGTGTCAGATACCATTATTATACCCCAGCTAAGATTTTCCTAGGAGTTTAAATAAATGGAATTTTTTTCAGTTGCCCAATATTGCATTACCGACAGCTCACCCATCTCAGCCTACATTTCCACTAATACTATTACAGGTCTCTTTTATTATTTGGGGTAAATTTAGCCATATTTAAATGATGAATATTTATTTTTGTGACAGCTAGATATTAAAGAATAAAAGAAACAATTGCATAAATTATGTCATTACTTAATTTTTCTATTGTTTTTCTGCTTTTCAGAAAATATTAGCACTTATATATTTTGAGAACAAAACCATTTTGAAATAATAAATATTCAAAGTGAATGTGAAAAATTTAAGCCATAAAAGTGAGTGGAGGAGATTATTTTATTATGTCTTGGGCCCATCCAGTTGACTAACTAAGATACAACATGATGGATTGAGCAAGATTTTGGGCAAGGAAAACACCAATGTTCAGTACTGGATACATTTACGTTGGTAGTGATTTTTGCTATTTTTATGGGAAATATGATGCAGTGAAAAGTAAACTGGCTTTGATATGTTTGTCTAGGGATCTGTATATCATTGTTTATATAGACAGTATCCTTCTGGGTTTCAAAAAATGTATAGAAATGACTTAAGAAAGTAAATTTTGGCACGTATTCTGTTTTGAAGTTGGATATTGTAAATCTTTTTACCTCTGTGTATATATAGCTTCACTGCTTTATTTGAAAATCTGTGCAGCTTTAGTGAAAGTCTGTATTTCCTATTGCAGTTGTCTGTTCTTATTTCATCTCAGAAGTCTAGCACCTTCTCCTTGCTCCTTTTTATTGCTAAGAGAAATAATTTTATGTGTGGTCCCTGGGTTTCTGTATGAAAGTTTTTCTAGGCTTCTCTTCCATATATTTTCAGCTATGTCTTATTGTTTTTTTCAATTAGAAGGAAAATAGTTGAGATTCCAACTGTAGTTGAATTTCTTCATGCCTTCTGGTTTTGTATTTTGACTGTTTCTTTGGAAGGATTCACTCTAATATTTCCTGTCTTACTCCCTCTGTGCTTGAAATATACTCTTATTTGATGAGTCTCATATGTGTACACACACACACATATGTGTACATATATCCCCTTTCTCTTTCTCCTTATCATATCTATGTGTATCTGGGTTTTTCTCCCTTCCTTTCTGTCTGCATCTTTTGGTCTAGATAGCTAACAATCAATCTATAAAATGTCTGTTTAGTCATTATATTTAAAACTATGTGAAAAAATTTTGAATAAAAGTCACAAAATTCCTTCAAACTAGAAACTAAGCTACATTTTCTTTGTGGAATGGAATCTTGGGCCACAGCTGATGCTTAGGGGCTATTCCTGATTCTGTGCTCAGGAGTGATGCTGAGTGGACTCAGGGGACCATGTGCAGTGCCAGGGTTGGAACCAGAATCCCATGCATTGCAAAGCTTTAATCTCCATCCCTTTAAATACGTTTTTTAAAAAATAAATTTTATTGGATCACCATGAGATACAGTTACAAGTTTTCATGAGCACAGCAGATAGGGAGTTTGCCTTGCTTGCAGCTGACCTGGGTTTGATTCCACTGTCCCTCTTGGAGAGCCCAGCAAGCTACTGAGAGTATCCTGCCCGCATGGTAGAGCCTGGCAAGCTCCCTGTGGCATATTCAATATGCCAAAAACAGTAACAACAAGTCTCACAATGAAGACGTTACTGGTGCCTGCTCAAGCAAATCTATGAACAATGGGAGGACAGTGCTACTGTGTTACATTTTAGTAATACAGTGATCGAGCACCCATCCCTCCACCAGTGTACATTTCCCACCACCTTTGTTCCCAGTGTCCCTCCCACCTCCCCGGCCCCATTCCATCCCCTACCTCTATGGCAGGTACTTTCTTTCTTACTCTAATTTTGGGCGTTATGATTTGCAATACAGATACTAAGAGGCCATACGTTTGGTCCTTAGTTTACTTTCAGCACATATCTCCCATCCCAGGCGAACCCTCCAATAATCATTTACTTAGCGAACCCTTCTCCATCCCAACTGCCTTTTTTCCCAGCATGTGGGGCCAGCTTCCAAACCATAGCATGATCCTCCTGGCCCTTACCTCTACTGTTCTTAGGTGTTAGTCTCATATTATGCTACTTTATATTCCACAAATGAGTGCAGTCATTCTATGTCTGTCCCTCTCTTTCTGACTCATTTCACTTAGCATGATACTCTCCAACCACTTATAAACAAATTTCATGACTTCATCTTTCCTAACAGCTGCATAGTATTCCATTGTGTAGATGTACCATAGTTTCTTTAACCAGTCATCTGTTCTTGGGCACTTGGGTTTTTTCCCCAGATTTTGACTATTGTGAATATTGCTGTAATAAACATGCAAGTGCAGATGTCATTTTTACTGTTTTTTTTTTTTGCATCTCCAGGATTTATTCCCAGTAGTGGTATTGCTGGGTCATATGGTAGCTCAGTTTCTAGTTTTTGGAGGAATGTCCATATTCCTTAAACTACATTTTTTTTCATGTTTTTTTTTCTTTTTTAATTTTTTTTTGTTTCTTTCTTTTTTTTTTTTTTACAGTTGTAGATTTACAATTTTTTGTGCTTGGGTTTCGATTATACAATGATCAGATACCCATCCCTCCACCAGTGCCCATTTTCCAAAACCATGGATAATATCCCCCCACCCCCATCCCCCCATCCCCCATCCCCCCCTGCCTCTGTGGCAGGGCAATCCCCTGTGTTCTCTCTCTCCTTTTGGGTGTTGTGGTCTG